AATGTCCAGACCGCTGCCAAGCGAAAGTCAAAACGCAAGAGCAAGGCAAAAGCCAAGAAACGCAAGGCCAGGAAGCCCGCCCAGAACAGCGACTGCGACCTTCGGCAGATCCCCAAGTTTGCGGCCAGAGACACGGTTGAACGCCTATACTGTATCGCTGCAGACCTTGAGATGCCCGAGTTTGCCAACTACTGCATGAGCCTCATCATGGCCAAATACAGCTGGAACTTTTTCTCGTTTCACCCCACAAATTGCAGAACGCGATCGGTTGAGACACCCTCAGATATAGAACGATCACGGAAGAAGCAGAACGCTCAACCTCGACCCAAGGCTGCCAATACCACCAGCACAAGCAACAACACTGCAGGCCATGGTGGCAATACAGACGACGGTGATGACAACGACGAGAGTTCAGAAGACGAGAGCGAAGAGGAGGCTGCCAGAAAGCAACGGCAGCAGCGCAGCAAAGGGCCGTTCAAGGCAAAAAAGGCTTTTACTCTCGCTCATCCGAGCTCTACAGTGCCCTTCAACCTCATGCTACACGACGCCCCGTACGCCCCCCACGGGCTGTGCTTTGTTGTGCGCAAGTGCGACGCGGACAACAAGATGCGCCGGCACTTGCGCAACTATATGCGCGCCGTGTTCTGTCAGCGCAACCATCTCAAGTCGATAGATTACGTCGACGACCGCACAGGTTTCATCAGGATGTGGCAAGACCATGTCAGGAGCGACGATGTGTTCGAGCAGTGGTTCAAAGCGCACTTGGCGGTCTCCATGGAACTTGACCGTCACGAGGAGAGAGTGGCTGCTTCGAGACTGCTCGACTGGCCGATATACATGGTCAACACCAACAATGACGACAAGAGCCGACCCCAGCAAGCTGCTGCATCCTCGTCACCGTCCGCGGCAGCACCAACCACGGGGCGCGATCCGAACTTGTTCTGGTTAGAGCTCGAAAAGCTCCGCATCAAGGACGTGCTCGTGGAGGAGCACGTCGACGCGCGCCCGCTGCGCACTGCCGCGGAGCCCAGCAGGGCCGTCATGAAGTGGACAGAGCATTGCCAGGACAACATCGCCATCTCGCGGCAGATCACCACCATGGTCGTCCGCGAGATGTACGCAGAGAAGCGAAACCTGAAGAAGTTCCGGTTCGGAGATTACTAGGCATGAATGAGGGCAAATACCCATCGGTGTGCGCTGAGGGACGTCATCTTGCGACACTGGCGTTTTCAAAGTGCACCTTATGGTACGCATGAAAGTGAGTACAACCGAGAAGATTCGCAATCAGACAAGAAGTCGCAGGGGAATGGCAAAGCTCCCAACAATGGCTTTGCTTTCTGAGAGCTGGACTCGGCTCCCGATATTGAGATAGCTTAATTTCACGATGATTTCCTGTTTCCCACGTGTGATGATGTTTTCTTGATGATGTTCGGGCTTCTTTGGACAGGATCGATGCTTACGTTGCCACAATGAATGGCCGGCATCTGCCTACCGAACGTGAAGGGTTCAATTGGGATGAAATAACAAACCGCCACATCTTTTGCTTTGTTGGACCCAGCTTTGCAGCCTTGCAGTACAACATCATAAGCATCGGCATCGTCAGTGAAAATCGTCAGGACATTGATTCTTGTTTCCTGCTTCTCCTCGTCTATGCAATGGCTCTTGTCTCTATTCCTCCATCTTCTCCTCATCCTCGTCGTCCTCATCCTCGTCATCACTGTCGTCGTCCGAGATGGCTTTCTTCGCTAACCGCTCGGCCTCCTCCAGAATGTCCTTGGGGACCTCAACATGCCGGCCTTTTGTGGGGCCGTCGACGTTGCTGATCCAGCTCATCTCGAGCTCAAACTCCTTGTCCTTGTTGTCCTGCTGCGCCACGTAGATGATACGAGCCGCCTCTTTGACACCCTGCAGCAGGTCGAGCTTGCCCGCGGCGAGGTCGAGCTTCTCCAACTCGGCCTTGGCGGCCTGTCGTCCCTTGCCCGTGGCCGCGCCGTAGTAGCCCCAGTACATGCCGCTGGGCTCGATCATATAGAGGCCAGGGCCGCCGTGCTTGCCCGGTACCTTGCCGCCGGCTCCTGAGGATGGACCCGAGCCGACCTCGCCGTCGACGGGGGCGTCCAGCTCTGAATCGAAACCGCCCACGATCGCAGTGATGCCGAAGGGTCGGACGGACTGGTAGAGGGTGTAGGCTTGCAGGTAACCGCCCATGCGGCTGGCCAGGTCGGAAGTCGAGATGGGCGTCTTGAAGGTTTCTCTCCAAGCGCGTGACTCGTCGCGGGCGCGGTCGACGAAGTGTCGTCCGTCGGGGATCATGCCGGAGTATACCTGCATTAATCCAAATGAGTCAGTCTCGAACAGCGAGGCGGGACCAGGGAACAAAGGTGTTGAGAGTCAAGGAAACAACGTACGGCTCCCAGATGTCTGTCAATTGTGGCGATTCTCTTGTTCGCGCCAGGCTTGGCGAGCTTGGATGTGACGACCTTCTCGACGGCGAGGACGACGCCGTCCTTGCACCGGATGCCGACAGATGTGCCACCGTTTTCTACAGCCTTGACGGCATATTCGACCTGGAAATTGCGGCCGTCGGGGGAGAAGATCGAGTTGGCGAGATCGTAGCCCGTACCTATCGATGTCTGCGGTTCAAAGAGGGGCAGAGTGAGCTTGTGAACAACTGGCATGGAGCTGTGCGAGGGGCCTTACCATGGTGACGATGTGTGCTGTGGACTCGCAGGAGGCGACAATCAAGAGGTGTTGCAGACGTGAAGAGGCTGAGCCGTTGGGTTGGTTGAGCTCGGTATCGTGGGGGTGGTCGAGGTGCCGCTGGGTGTTTGGTGATGTCGTCGCTCTCAAGGCTGTGAGGTTGACGCAGCTCCCCCCAGCTTAGTGGCCCACTTGAGCTTCAGGCAGCCTGAGCTGCGTGTTGCAGGCTCAACTGTGGAAGGCACCCAACTGTCAGCAGCCTGGGCAAGGGCGGCTTGAGCGCCACTTCGTGTGGGCAACATTTGCCCCGCCACGTGTGGCTGGTGCAACGCTTCGTCTTGACGGAATTGGGAGGACGCTTTCACGAGCTTCACTCTTGTGGCATGTTACAACGGCAATGCCGTCTATTGATGAATCTAAGCCTTACATCTCGTCCATAATCTCTAGGTTGACCGCTGATTTGCACGACGTCTTCTTTCCGCGGGCCGACCAGACTGCATACACGCATCAATACTGTCTCTCAATCTCATCAAGGTGATGCGTTGAGCTCCAGATTATTCGCGCTTTCTTCGACCAGATGATACACATCTTTCCTCATGGCTCTGGCCACCTGGAAGTCCCATGCGCCTAGACAAACTTGACCTTGCCGAAGAACGGCGTCTTATGAAAGCTTGCCTCGTCCGGAGGGTTCCACGCGCCGAGCTCCTGGGCTGGGTACGTCTCTGGTGAGACGACAGTGCGGAAGAAGTTCATCCTCCACTCGGTGCCCTTGGCCTTACCATCGTCGACGTTGAACAAGCCCAGCGGGATGCGTGCAGTCGACGTCCACTTCTCCGCGGCTCTGTCGAGCGCAGTCGTGGCGACGAGGCCGTCCTGGACGGGTGTCTGGATGAAGAACGTGTCAAGTGGGAAAGCCGGATCGCGGACTTTGCTCGGGTTATAGATGAATGCGTTGAAGGTGGCATTATTGGGGCTGATCTCGAATTCGAGGTATGTCTTTGGATCGTTGGTGCCGCGGGCAATGAAGGCCTCCATGACCTCGTACCGCCACAGCTCGTCGTTCGTGCCATGAGCCGGGTCGAAGTAAAAGTTCGTCTCGTTGTAGGCTGTGAATGTCGCGACAATGGCTGTCTTGTCATAACAGAGGTCGACCCGCGTGAGCGGGAAGTCCGTCTTTGCCGGGACAGACTTGTCGTACATGATAGTACCCTTGGCTGGGCAGGCCGGGACGTCGAGCTTGGGCAGACTGGTGCTCAGCACCAATGCCGGCGCAGCGGCAGTGAGGATGGCAGTGGTACGCATCGTGGCTGCTGTAGTTGTTGACGTGGTCCAGTGTTGATATGACGAGGGAGACAGGCTCGAGGTGTGGTCAGCGATTGAGAACCACCCGCCGAGCTGGTACAGCATGCGACCAGTCATCGCCTTATATGCAAGTCATAGCCTCGCTCAATATCAATGGGAAGCCCTGCCCGGGCAATCTTTTGTCAGGTGTGGCAGCCTATCGACCGAGGGATGGATGGACACCTAGAAGGGACGACCAGTCCATGCGCTCGTGATTCGCCAGCCGTTGTGTCGTGCATAGGACAGAGCTGACCGAGAGGGAGCTCTCTCCTTCCCGTTCGGAAAAGATGCCTACTCTGTGATGCCTGCCTACTGCTCTAGGCCGAAGGAGAAATGAGATGGTGTGGCCAATGTGGAAGTCTGCTGACAAAAAGTCTAGATTGTCCCTGCCCGAGTGGAAGACTTGGCTGCGGAGATCGCGATTGGCTGCATGCAGATGGAATGGCATCCTTCGCCTGCCGTCCCGTTGGAGAGCTCCGAGGGTTGACAGAGTGACAAGCATTGTGTATCATTCCGAGACAGAGTGTTCCCGGGCCCGGCCTCAAATGCAACGTAGCGTGCAGGAGAGGTCCAACTCGGAGAGTCTGGGGAATTTTGAGTCTTTCCGAGTAGCTACCTTATAACCATCCTCCCCCAGTCTACATACTGTTCATGTGCCCGATTCAGGATGGCCGGAGCGTCGATTACTCCTTGTACACAGATTGTTGCGGAATACAGCATCACCATTTCCACGACCCCTGATGGGCAAGCAGGGGGATCATGGGTGCGGAACAATGCGAATTGCTGTACGGGAGCGAAACCGCACAACTCTAGCCTGTAAGGCCTGTAAGGAGCGTCATAACAAGAAGCACACAAATTTAAAAAGTAGTTGTCAACGAGAAAGAAGAGATGCACGAGTGCGAAAATAAGTCCAAAGAGCCTAGATCACAAATAGGGTGGCAAAAAGCAAAAAAGAACGATGCCCACTACTGGAGTCGAACCAGTTATCTCCTCATTACTAGTGAGGCGCATCACCGTTCTGCTTAGCGGGCCGGTTGAGTTAACCAAGCTGGTTGTGAAGGTGATTGGTTATGTGACGAGCCTTTTGACAAGGTACATATACGCAGTACAACTATCTGATAACTCGAGCTTCTGGTCCGCTGTTCACCATCTGCACGGCGCTGGCTGGGAACTACAAAGCGGCACGAGAATAACTGTCGGTCACCGTCGCTCTCCGTACTGTTCATCAGCCAGATGGCCTCCTCGTAGTGATCGAAGGGCGGGCTGCTGCACTGCACATATCTCTCCCGCGTTCAGGTTGTCCTGCAGAAATGTGCCGTTGCTCCCGTTGCCGATCCATGCTTGTGCTCGGTTGATTGACAAGGAGGAGCGGGTTGACGTAAATGCCCGCCAGGCTGTGCTGGGGTTGTTTTTTCAGCTCTGGGCGATCATGGTCACGTATGATGGTTGTGGCGGCGTGGATCCTCAACAGAGCTGAGCACACTTCACGTAATGCAGCCCCTATTCATACTGCCTAACAGTCCCAGATGTGCGGCTGAGGGTTGCCATGAGAAGTTCTGGGGGGGATTTTGGCACGTCATACTGATCCTGCCCGGGTCATGCAAAGACACAAGAACACACTGCATGAGTAGACATGGCGCACCACCCAATTGCTGAAGGTCTTCCGCAGTATGGCAGTTGGGGGCCCCCCTTCAGACTAAAGAGGGTGTTAGGCGAAGCCCAGAATCGAGGCAAGCTCGCCATTTTCCTCGCCTCCGCGCCGGCAGTTGCTAGCGCAGAACCCAGAGGACCCTTGACCTTCCCGAATCGTAGCAAGCATCGCCAATCAGCCCTCCGTGGCGGCCAACGTGTGACATCCTGTCGAGCCTGTCAGTGGCACCTCCGCCCGGACTCCGACGCTCGACGATCGTCACCTGCAGATCAGACCTATTTCTGCGCATCTGGCTCGCTTGTCTATTCCGCTGAAGGCAACTCATGCAACATGTCTTCAGCTCGTGGACTTTTGCCTCAGCACTTGATGGCCCGGAGCAGGGTTCGCGGCGACGGGTACAGCCGCGCCGGTGATGCAGGAGGGGAGAGATCTTCAAGTTGATCTGCAGGACATGATGACGGAGATTCTTCGTGGCTGAGGATGGTTGAACATTGGGGCAAGAGGTTAGACGGGATGATATGTATAAAGACCGGTTTATTCCCAGGATACGCGACAAGGAAACCATATGCCATCATCATCATCTGCAATATCACCCACCACTTTATCACAACTCCCACACCCAACCAAGAACATCTATTAAACCATCTTCGCAACCATGAAGGTAATGCCACCCACTCCCTAACCGACATTAATCTCTTTCTTCTCCTATGCTTACGCTCCCGGCCCCCCTCCAGTTCACAACCGCTATCACCGCCCTCACCACCCTCGGCCTCGCCTCGGCCGTCGCCGTCGACCTGGACCAGCGCTCTGGCACAAAACTTAGCCAGTCCGCCGCCGCCTCGCGGCTGACCGCGGCGGGGATCACCTCGTCCTCGACAGGCGGCTGCACAAACCCGGCGAACTCCAAGTGCACCTCGTACGAGGGCGTGTACTCGGGCACAGTCGACGGGGCCATCACGCTCAAGGGCGCCTGCGGGTGCACGCTCATCATCACGGGCGGCACCGAGACGGGCCACGCCGGCGGCACATACTCGCACGCCAACGGGTACAAGTTCGACTTCCGCAAGAACACGGCGCTCGACAGCTACGTCAAGAACACTTTCACCCGGATCGCGGACCGTGGTGACGGGTATGCCCAGTGGAAATCTGCGGCGGGGAACATCTACTGCGTAAGTCTTTGCATTACATCTGTCCTTGTATCGTCTTAGCAGAATTAAACCACTAACACCATGGCTGTAAAGGATGAGGGTAGCCACTGGGATGTGACGTATTACTAGAGCATATGAGTACAATTGCGAGGTGTGAAGAAAGTAAAATATACCACTTAACCGAACAAGTGATCATACTAGAGAGCTACAAATTACATGCTACGCGAGCACTGTGCTATCTTATTTCAGGGTCCCTCTGTGTGATGTGACGTGCACAGACATAACGCCTCCACAACACCACATGGAGTGGATGAGGTTCCCCAGAGGTTTGTGATATCTCTATGGACACTTCCGCTGCTCTGGCTCCTTCTTATGCAGCTCATATGGTGCGCCCTTTGGTCCTGCACTCAAGGATCCATCCTTACCTATGTCGGCGTTCTCTGGAAATGTGCGGAACAGATCCCGCAGCTTGTCCAGGGGGGCGGTGAGAAGCGGACTGGCGGTTTCGAAGCCGACAGAGCTGTTTGGCGCATTCGGGTGACTCCGTGTTGGAGCGAGGTTCTTTGTACGCTCGTAGCTCAGGCACAGCTCCTTGCTCTGGGTGAGGCTCATGGATTTCTCCAGCTTCTGAATTGTGTCTTCTTCGAGATTCTTGACGTTGTTCTGGAACTTGCTGTACAGGCCTTCGAGCTTGGTCTTGAATTGATCATTGTCGGGCTTCATGTCTTGAACATCAGCCAAGAGCTCTTTGATCTAAGTTACAGCCCGTGGTGATTAGTTCCTGTGTCACGCAGAGATATTGCCTCGGGGGAGAATGATAAGACTGGGAGCCATTTACTTCCCACACAGTCCTCTAGAGACTCACCTCTTGGCTAGCGGCACGCTCCTTTTCCACGAGTTCCTTGCCACCCGGGACATCCTTTTCGACTGCTGGGAAGACGACCAGTTCTTTCGCAACGCTATGTCTGGCAAGCTCCCAGACAAATGCATTCTGGAAGCCTTTCTTCTCGGCGAGAGTAGTACCCACGGTGGCTCCCTGGAAGAAGATGGCGAGCTGGTCGTAGTCCTGATGCAGGGCAGAACTGAGCTTGAATGGGGTTGACGGTCCTCCTAGGTTGGCATGCTCCTCTGCGAAGGAGTACTTGCTGCCTATCGAGTATGTCCTCGTGTGAACTATGTAAGCGGCCGGCTGGAGGACCCGTAGGGCTTGTGGTGTCGCTGGACGGTACAGAACACGCGAGATCGTGGCTGCTTGGAGGGTAATTCGCTGTAACATGATTGCGTCAGGTGCTTGTATTTCAACCTTGTGATTGAAAATTGATTGCGGTCGGAAGCCGTGAAGAATGCCGCAGTCCTCTCCAGACATCAACTACCGGCAATGGCATATCTGAGTGCCGTCTCATCGTGGTCGATTACGACCATAAAACGCCAATGTCGTCATGACCACCTCAGTCAGCGTCAGTGACCTATACTAGCCTCATCGTCTGGTGCCTAGGTCGCGCTCAATGAGTCTCACAAGTGGAGTTGGTGCATGCATATCTGATGGGTCTGTACTAAGATCCTCGGGTATTCCCAACTGGGCGAGATCGGGGTGTCGAGGCGGAATCTCAATATGCACCCCAGCGTACTTTGACACTTTCGATGAGCGCTGGAGGTTCCAGGGTTGTCCGAGATAGAGTTAGGCCGGCTCTAGAGTCGTGCCTGGCTGTCTGCTGTTTGGCTGCCTGAAGAAAGGTGGGACGGACCCCTGGTTCTCTTCGTGCCCCGCGCCCGCGCTGCAAGTACAGACGCGACTGCCAGCTGTGGATTTTGTTCAAACCACCGCGTTGAGCACTTTCCGCGTTGCGACAGCCTCACATGCGCCAAAACGCCTGCAACAAATCGTCTTCGAGGTTCCAAACCTTGCTGGACATCACATCAGCTCCGATCTTGCACAAAACCAATGGCATGTCTCGACTTAGATGCGCCTCGCATTAGTCGTGGGTGAGCTCCTCGTGGTGCATGAGCGAGCTCCGACACAACGACAACATGAACTACTTCGCCTCCAGGTCGGCTCCAACATGGACGGTCCCAAAGCCCCGAGAGAACCACGCACCGTCAAGATTACGTCCGCTTGAGATCCCGCTGCCGTCACTGCCGAAGCGATACGAACAAGGCGATGGCCCACCACCACTAGCTCCTCTGAGCATGATAGTCAAAAACGACTCGACAGCACGCATACTCGACAAGCGCGTCATGCGCGGCCCCCCAAAGAACGACGAGATCAGCCTGCAGCTCTACTATGTCGTAGGATGGTCAGATCTGCCAGCTGCCCGGGTCGCGATCCAGGCCCAGCAGATTCACGAGTACGTGTCGCCACGAGAGCTCGAAGACTTTGAGTATAAGCTGTACCTCGAGCGTGAAGCTCGCGAAGAAGCGGAAGAAGTGGCAGCCGCCATCGAGGCTGTAGCGCAGGCAGAAGCAGCAGAGAATGCGGCCCTGAGAAAGAAGCCAGGTCCACCAGCACCCAAGGGAAAGGCTAAAGAATGGCGAGGTGGTCGGAAGAGGAGAAGACAGCGCCCTAGCAAGGCAGATCTGATCGCCAAAAAGCAGGCCGAAGAGACGAGCTTCGACCAGTCAGAAGCGGCAGCCCTGAGCGGCGCTCTCACGACTTCTGGCTATGATGCGAACGGACCATCGTTGACAGCACCCTCACTATCTACACCGAAAAAGAAGCACATCTCAGCGAGCGCGATCATTGCTAATTCCGAAGACGACGCTCTCCTGGATGACCTAGAGGCCGAGGCCGAGATTGGAGATGCCGAAGACATGGAGCTCAACGACGACGTCGCTATCCTGAGACAGCTGCGACAAACGAGTACGACAAGTCGCGATGAGCTTGGGGCAAGTGAGAGTGACACTGGAAGTAGCACGCCGGCCATACCGCTGGTCGAGTCTTCAAACGCAAACCAGTGGTTGCCGCAAAGAGCATTCCTCAGTGCCGACTCACGCGCACCGGCCGCTTCTGTGCCTGTTGTGCCACTCCCGGTGAACACTAGTACTTCTGCAGTGCATCATAGATCGACATTGCAGCATTTTGGCTTTACGCCAGCAGCGAGGAGCCCAGGCACATGGCAAGCGGCGGTTAGCACGTCGCAAGCTCAGAGCACCCCGCGTGCACCTACAACGACCTCAGATTGGGCAACTCCGCCGATCAAAGCTGCATCGAAGACTCCACAGACCAAAAAGAAGA